AACTGAAAAGGTGCAAAAACATCTCCTTTTCGGTATCTAGGTAATATAAAAGAAGGACGCACAATTCGTCCTCAAAACTTACAAGAGTCAAAGGATTACACACCCTTAATGATTTTCAAAAATTATTAGGTGATATTAATTGGCTGAGACCATCTTTAAAACTAACAGATTTGAGTCTAGCAGATTTGAGTCTTTTGTTTCAGATTTTACAGGGGGACTGTTCTCCGACTTCTCCTTGTCAGCTCTCAACAGAAGCAAGAACGGCCTTAAAGAAGGTTGAATTTGCTATTAAAAGTGCTCAACTTACAGAATCAACCCACAGGAGCCTACATATTTATTAATATTTCCCACTGCTTATGCTCCTACAGGAGTGATATGGCAATCATTGGGAGTTATTGAATGGATCCACTTAGTTCATTCTCTTCAAAAGTCATTAACTCCTTTTCATGATTTTGTTGCTAAGTTGGTTATTAAAGGCAGAACTCAAGTTTTACAGCTGGTTGGATCATAATCTAATATTGTTTTTATCCCTTATTCTACTCAACAAAATGATTGGCTTTTCCAAACTTCTAATACTTGGCAAGTAGCTTTTGCTAATTTTCCAGGTCAGATAGGAAGTCACTATCCTCATGATAAAATTATTCAATTTGCCTTAGTAACTACATTTATTTTTCCAAAATTGTGCATGCTCAACCAATAGATGGAGCACTATCCGTGTTCACTGATAGGTCAAGTTCAGGTAAAGCAGGTTTATATAGCCATGCTCAGACAGAGGTAATCCTGCACAATGAGCAGAACTTCAGGCTTTCATGTGTGCTTTAAATCATTTTGCAAATGAGTCAATTAATATTTATTCTGATAGTTTACATGCAGTTGGAGTTACAAAAAATATTGAAACTTCACCTACTGGGTACACATCATCATAAGAGTTATTCAATTTGTTTCATACCTTGCAGAAGACAGTTCAAACACATCAACATGCATGTTTTATAGGCCATACACAGGCCCACACTAATCCCCCAGGGCCTTTAACATCAGGTAATGATAAGATTGATAAACTGGTTGCTGTTTGTCAGCAACTGTCTTTGTATGACTGTGCACAGGCTTCACGTTCATTACATCATCAAAATGCTTCTAGTTTGCATAAAAATTTTATTATTACTAGAGAGCAAGTGCGTCAAATGGTACATCAATTCCCACAATGTGTTGTACACATTCCATCTTTACCATCTGGGGTAGATCCCCACGGGTTATGACCAAATCAGTTATGGCAAATGGATGTAACTCACATTCCTCAATTTGGCAAATAATGTTATGTACATGTAATTGTAGATACTTATTCCAGATTTATCTTTGCCACAGACATGCAAAAGAAAATACGCAACATTTTATTTCTCATTGCCTAGCTGCCTTTGCAGTATTAGGATGTCCTTTACAGATTAAAACTGATAATGCACCAGCTTATACTAGCTCTTCTTTTCAGCAGTTCTACCAACAGTTTCGTATTGACCATAAAACAGGTATTCCTTACAACCCTCAGAGTCAAGCCATTGTAGAACGAGCTCATTTATCTATTAAACTGTAATTACAAAAACAGAAAGGGGGAAATAGGACCCCTCCCATAATAACCTTAACCATGCCTTGTTTATTTTAAATTTTCTAAATTGTGACTCAGAAGGTCACATTGCAGCTGAGAGACACACATCTTCCACAGTAACAGATTCTTTAAGCCAAGTTTGGTGGAAAGATTTACAAACAGGTCAATGGAAAGGACCAGATCCAGTGATGATATGGGGTACAGGTCATGCTTGTATTTTCCCAGAAGGTGCATTTTATCCTACTTGGGTACCTGAATGTGCCATCAGACATGGAGGACCTAGAGGTAAGGTTCAAATGACTGAGGATCGATCCAGAGATGACTCCTTACAAGAAGAGGAAGGATGAGGGGGAAAAAAGATGGCCCAGAGAGACCCAACGGTGAAGCTACCCTCATGGAAGTTTTTGAAAAATCTGACGCTGCAGGCTGAGCAGATGATCCAGTAGCAAGGAAGGACTAAGTCTCCAGCTATGAGCTTAAAGCAATGCTAGCTGTATTGAGCTGCCAGGTAACTGGGACACAGGGAGAAACGTATCGACATACTTTCCAGATCCACCTCTAGTACACCCAATGGTATGGACTAGAGAATCCATCCCACTATTTACTAATGACTCACTTATGATGGGAGGTTTTACAGACACCCATAGTACTCCCATCCAGATGACTGGATTTAATTATTCTGGCTGTAGCGGTCAGTTACCTATGTGTTGGTCCCTCAATAAACATGCTGGCTGTCTAAAAGTGTCCTTTGAGGAAAAGAGCAGTTGGGGGGCCTAGACCAGCTAATCATACTGGCCTCAAGTACTCAAAGCCATATTAGAACAGTTATTAAAAGGGATTCTCTCATAACAAGCCAGTCATTTCAGCAGAATGTTCATTAATACCTCACTGTCCTAACCATTCTGCAATAGAAATTGGCACATTCCCTAAATGGATGGATTGTATAAATACCTTCCCAATACAGCATAAATTGTCTAGAAATAATGGGTATATTTTAGATTAGTCTCCGAGGACTGACAAAAAACAATTACATAAGGGTGCTGCCATGACCCCTGGAGGATTTGTTAGTAACATCTTGATCTTCAGGAAAGGTGGCATTCAGAAAGATGGCTGGCATTTGATTGCAGCCTCAGAATGTTTACATTTTACTGACAAACCTTTACCTGACTTTGTAGGCAGAAATTGTAGTAAGGAAGGTTCTTATTATGGCCTGTGAGCCTGTGTTCAATCTCCTTATGTTTTAATTACTAGAGATGTGAAAGTCAAAAGAAAAGATGATATATATCTTGTAGCCTGTAATAAATGTAATTTAACTAATTGTATCACCAGATACAATACAGAGAAGGGAACACTGATACTTCACCAGTCCTCTTTTGTTGTATTGCCAGCTAATATCTCAGAGCCATGGTATACTGATCCTGGTTTTCAAGTGTTACAACAAATACATGCCCAGCTGACTAGACCTAAGTGAGCTCTTGGATTTATAATACTTGGAGTGGCTGCCTTAATTTCATTTATTGCTTCCACGGTCACAGCTTCAGTGGCCAAAATATTCAGCATGCAGACTTTCTTAATAATTTGGCTTAGAACACTTCCAAAGCTCTTTATAATCAGATAAATATTGAGGAAAGGATTGAAACTAAGCTAAATGCCTTAGAAGCTACTGTTATAAATATTGATAATGAGCTTTCAGCTTTAAGGTTCAAGGAAAGACTCAAATGTCATACTGATTATAAATATGTGTGTGTTACTGCTGCCAAATACAGTGCTTCCCAATGGAATTGGGAAATGGTTAAAAACCATTTATTAGATATTTGACAGAACAATAATAATAACTTGGATCTTTTGGAGTTACATCATCATATTCAAGATATACAAAAAAGTAAGATTAATTTTTCAGTTCCTACCTCTTTACCTGATCAAATACTTTAGCGTTGAATGGTTTTAACCATGGAAACATACTAAAACATTCTACATGGTATATTATTGGACTGTTCGCTTTGCTATTAATCCTCTCTTGCAATCATAGGATGTTGTGCCTTCAGAACAAGAATTCTAGATAGCGACTCATCACATACTTTTTCAAATAAAGAAGGGGGAATATATCGGGAGCTGCTCTGGAAATATGCCCTTAAGTCCTGAGCAAGAGATACTGAACAATTATTGCACCCCACAATAACTTGGGCTTTACCTCTACTTAGATAATGAGGCATGGCTCCAGGAGTAGGCGTTACCTGGTGGGATTGAGTTACACTCACCTGTTCCTCTGTAATCCTACCCTTTGTCCCTTTTTTCAGATAGGATGTTCTAAGAAACAGCTTCCCCCAATAAAAGCCAACTCCAGAACATGCACTCCCTCTCTCTCATCAGCCTCTCGTGACTTTCTCTTGTCCCCCTGTGGGAGCCTGAGGTTGGGAGCCAGGGAAGCCATCCTGAAACTTATAAAAAGTTATTCTGTGTCTGCGTGGTGGGCTGGATGGGAGCAGCATGAAAAAAAGGTAAATTAATTGATAAAAAAGTAGATTAGTTGTTGCCAGGGCACAACAGGGGAATGTCTGCTAATAGGCATAGCATTTCTTTGTGGGAATAATGAACACATTCTGAAATTAGATGTACAACTTTGTGAATATACTAAACCCCAAGAAATTGTGTACTCATAAGGATAAACTTTATGCTATGTGTATTAATTATATCTCAAAAAACCCCGATATTTTACAAAAATGATCCAGGAAGTAGAAGGATTTATAGATTAAAAAAAGGTTAATCATAAGTTAACTTTTGAAGGTGGATGATGAGTACCTAGAGGTAACAATGCACTATTTTCTCTACTTTTAATTATGTTTGCAACTTCCTATAATATAAAGTTTTTAAATGCTATAAAATAATGTGGCTGATAATAGAATAATATGATTATGTATTTCCTTGAAATCCAGTCTTTTACTTCCACTTTTAGGGTAAAGCACACATTTAATGGAAATTTGGGCTCTTTAACCCAAAAGTCAAGATAAATTAATACACCTAACCAAATTACACCAGAGGAATGGCAAAAATTACCTCAAAAAATTTCTACTCATCATCAAAATTGGCTTTACATATATAAGAATACATTTTATAAAGTGAGTTAGGCTGAATGGAAGTCAAAGTTGCAATGCTAATCTCAGCTCTCCAGTGTTTTGCTAAGTTAACTCATACCAAGTGCTTTGAGGCTAAAGGGCTGCTTTCTGACATAGAATAGGAGAATTTTCTTTTTGTTGGGAAGAAGAGTGAAAACAAAAAAAGTATTTCAGAAAAGTACTACCAAGCATTTATAAGAAACCATAAGGTTTCATGACACACTATTAAACTTCATATGCAAACATTTTTATATAGATTATCTTTTCTGGAGGACTGTAAGATAACTCACAGAAGACTGCTCGTCAGAGGTTTCATGCGAATGTCCACAGAAAGCCACAACAGCCAGTTCTGCAGTAGCTCTTTCAGACTCTGAAGAACACTACACTGAGGGGGCAAAACAAAACAAAAAAAAAATCATTCAAAATATCATTCAGACATAACAGTGTTCAGAACAGAGGGTAGAGTAGAAGGGACCATAGAGATGACTGTCTTAGAACTCAATAGGTGCTGCTCCAACATGGTAATTCTCCAGGTGACAGATGACCTCAAATACAAGTTTATTTTGCCATTTTCTCTACAAGAAACTCACCTCAACAGGACTGACCTAAAACAAAACTTTTTTTCTCTAAATTATATTCATTTATAACAAATATTATATCATCAAATAAAAACATCCTTTCCAGGAGTGGTAGAGCATGCCTGTAATTCCAGCTACATGGGAGATTGAGGCAGAAGGAGCTCAAGTTCAAGGCCTGCCTAGGCAACTTAATGAGACCCTGTCTCAAAATAAAAAGGGGCTAGCGAGAGAATGTGAAAAAAAGGAACACTTTTACACTGTTGGTGGGACTGAAAAATAGTACAACCACTATGGAAATAAATATGAAGGTTCCTCAAAAGATTAGACATGGAGGGCTGGGGATATAGCTCAGTTGGTAGAGTGCTTGCCTCACATGCACAAGGTACTGGGTTCAATCCTCAGCACCACACACACACACACACACACACACACACAAAGACTAGACATGGAACTACCATATGACCCAGCTATACCACTCCTTGGAATTTATCCTGAAGAATTAAAGTCATCTTACTTCAGCAATACATGCATATCCATGTTTATAGCAGCACAGTTCACAACAATCAAATAACCAAATTAGGAAACCAGCCTAGGTGTCTATCAATGGATAAAGAAAATGTAGTATATATACACAACAAAATTTTATTCATCCATAAATAAACATGAAAATTATGTCATTTGTGGGAAAATGGATGGAACTAGAGACCATCATGTTAAGTGAAATATGTCTAACTCAGAAGGTCAAGGGTTGTATTTTCTCTCCTATGTGGAACCTAGAGAGGAAAAAGGAAAAGAAAGGTGGGAGTGGATCTCCTAAAAATCAGAGAAAGATCAGAAGAGGAAAATGAACGGGGTGGTGGGTAGAGAGGGAGGAGTAAGTATTGGGGACAAATTATATTGTTACAATGTGTGCATGTACAAAGATGTAACAACAAATGTCATTATTGTGTACAACTATAATGCACCAATTAGTTGTGTACAACTATAATGCACCAATTAAAAATGTGGGGGAGGGGTTGAGGTTGTGGCTCAGCAGTGGAGCGCTTGCCTAGCATGTGCGAGGTTCCTCAGCACCACATAAAAATAAATAAAGGTATTGTGTCCAAGAATAACTAAAAAAATATTTTTAAAAATGTGGGGGAAAGGGGCTGGGATAAGCCAGACACAGTGGTGCATGCCTTTAATCCCAGAGGCCCAGGAGGATGAGACAGCAGGATTCCGAGTTCAAAGACAACCTCAACAACCTAGCAAGGCCCTAAGCAACTCAGTGAGACCCTGTCTCTAAATAAATAAAATTTTAAAAAGGGTGGTGATGTGGTTCAGTAGTTAAGTGCCCCTGAGTTCACTTCCCAGTACCAAAAAAAAAACGGGTGAGGGCTGGGATATAAAGTAGAATGATATTATGTAAATTGCTGATAAATGGATGGAACTGGAGAACATTATGCTGAGTGAAATACGCCAAATTCAGAAAGTCAAAGTTCAAATGTTTCTCTTACATGTGGAAGCTAGAGAGAAATAGAAATTTTAAAAGAGGGGGTGGGTGATCTTTTGAAAACAGAAGGGAGAACAATGGAAGAGAGGAAAGGAATGAAAGGGAGGGAGGAGGGATAAGAAAGGGGAATGAGAACAGAATGAAATTAACCAAACTATGCCACATACAAGTACAAACATATTATAATGAATTCCACTTTTTTTGTATAAATATAATACACCAACTTAAAAATTAATTTAGAGTTCTGGGGAGTGATAATGGCCAAATTATACTGTTACATTATGTGTATGTATGAATATGTAAAACAACTCCCAACATTATGTACAGCTATAATGTACCAATAAATAATGTGGAAAAATTATTTTAAAAACCTAAGTAAAATTAAAAGGGGTGGGGATGTAGTTCAGTGGTAGAGAGCCCCTGAGTTTAATCCCCAGTGGATGCATGGGAACCAAACAAAAACAACAACAAAAAATTATCCTTATTGTCCCCTCTTAGAGATCCTTTGAAGTTGCTACAGATGAGTTTTCCACCCCTTGTACCTTGTGATCCACAAGTACAAGTTACTTTCTTAATATTTATTTTTTATTTATAGGCAAACACAATATCTTTATTTTTTTTATTTTTATGTGGTGCTGAGGATTGAACCCATTGCCTCACACATGGTAGGTTAGTGCTCTACCTCTGAGCCACAACCCCCGACCACAAGTTACTTTCTTTTTGAAGGTCATAAAATTTATCTTCTCTGACTTTGAAAATCAAATAATTCTAATCTTTCCTTTCTCAGGCTTTGCCTTGATTTCCCAGGATTGCCTTCACATATAAAAAAGTAGGAGTCATAATAGAAATTCACCCAGGGTATTAATGATTATAAACTATAGAATCTATAAATCTGAAACCTTTCTTAAATATCTTTAATAAAGAATGGCCTAGTTACAGGAATACTTCCAACAATAGGGTGCATACTACTACTTCACAGAACAGTTCAATTACTTTTTTTTTCCCTAGAAATTGATACTTCAGTCCAACATGGTGGCCCACACCTATAATCCCAACAACTTGGAAGGCTGAATCAGGAGTATCACAAGTTTGAAGGCAGCAATTTAGTGAGACCCTGTCTCAAAAAATAAAAAGGGCTGAGGATAGAGCTCAGTAGTAAAGCATCCCTGGGTTTAATCCCCAGTACCCACCCCTACACACACACACACACACAAAAAAAAAGAATAAAAAGAAAAAAAAAGAAACTGATACTTCATATTCATATTAAAAATATGTCCAAGTTGAAAGCAACCTGAGTCATCTAAAACAATATTGACTTAGAAAATCCCTCTGCCAGGGAATTTTATAATTTGAAAAAAAAAAATCAATATTACAATGCTAAATGTACAAATTAAAAAAGTTTATTTCCCCACCCACCTACTCTGCCGCCACAACAAAGGAAGGTTTTCATGTTTATGGAAGGGGACATGTTTTTTTTTTTTTAAAAAAAAAAGGTAAGAAGATGTGTATGTAGAATCTTTTCTACATACTCATCCCTAGTAGACAAATGTTAAACCTCTGCTTGACCTCCTCCACTGTTAGTAAATACATACTACCTGTGAAAATCCTTTATTCCTTTTTAAGTCTGCTCTGCCTGTAATAAGATGCTGCCTTCTAAGCCAGGCATAGTTATGTACACTTGTAATCCCAGCAACTCACGAGGCTGAGGCAGGAGGATGGCAAGTTCAAGGCCAGTCTCTGCAACTTAGCAAGGCCCTAAGCTACTTAGCAAGACCCTATCTCAAAATAAAAAATAAAAAGGGGTGGGATGCAGCTCAGTGGTAAAGCACCCCTGGGTCCAATCCCCAGTACCTAAACAACTAAATAAATACTGCCCTCTAGCTAACTCTGCCTCTTATACAGAGAACTTCCATGTAAAGATCCTTTAAAAACCTGAAAGGAACAAAAAGATCTTACTCTGTTTTTCTTCCAGGAAAAATCTCCCTAGTTCTTTTACTATCTCAGGCTAAAAAGTTTGAAGTTATCTTGTATCCTTCATGCTTTATTTCCAGTCACCAAATCCTATCAAGTTTTTCCTTCAAAATGTCCAACTTATTCATTTCCTTCCCAATTCCACTATAATTACCCTATACCAGTCCTTCACATCTCTATCCTCCTAGCTAGTCTCCCATATTCTAGTCTCATCTCCCAAACCCTAATTCTTTCTCCATGGCTGCTAGACCCTTGTATTTGAAGCACTCTATCAAGTGCACATTGCAGTGTTGAATGCTTTAGCAAAGGAACAGCAGTATGTATATGTCACATGAAGATGCTCAAGACAGCTATCTATTCCTACAACAGAAACTAAATAGAAATAATAATGGAGAAATGACTAAATAGATTGTAGTACTATGACTATGGTGCCATTATTAGAAATATTATGAAGACTATGTGGAAACATGGAATTCTTATGCAATGATAACTTTGTATTTGGTTTTTAAAATTTATGTCCATTATGTCTGAAACTGTAGAAAATGATAAATCAATAAGAACAAAAATTGAACAATTAACGTTCCAAAGCAAAGACATCATGGTTATGGAGGGTTTATGGGGCTTTTCCTATACAAAATTCTACAATGAAAAAAAAAATTTTATCACAGACACAATCAATCAGGCACAAACAAAATATACTAGAATGTTAAAATACTTTTTATAGATTTTAAAATATTATTCATTTATTAAACTAAGGTGGTAGTCAAATCATACAATAATAAGGCAATAATAAGTTACTATAAAGCCCCTGAAACTAATTGAATTTCTAGCTAATTCTACCCTATTTCATGTTTCTATTATTCTTAGTCACCTCCTAAAATATATGCTCCTTTGGATATTTATCCTTATATTTCTCTGTGCTTCATGTCCCCTTTCATTAATCCTACCCTTCTCAAATCTCTCAGTTGCAATACCCTAAACTTTTATTCAATGTTAACCTACACCCACACATTCATATTCTAAAAGTATGCTTCTCTTTTTACCTTAATTATATTCTGATTCTGGCTTAGTGGTTAAGAACTTCTGGGTTCAATCCCTGATACCAAAAACAAAACAAAATAAAAAATCAAATAGACCTTCTATTTAATCAGGTGACACAGGGGAAAAAATTCTCCTTGTTTCAGAATGTTTACAAATATTTTATCAGCTACAGAACCTCATAAGTCAAACAACTACCAACAGATGAATTGAAGACCCCTATTTTAGATTGCATTTTGCTAGTTTTTCTCATGACTTTGACTATTCTTTGGTTTTCAAAACACAAAATTGTCTATCTCCAACATT